GGTAATAACCTCCCTTGTAAAACCAAAAAGTCTTCTTTGACATCAAACATATTTTGGTGAGAGAAAGAGAGGAGAAAAAGGCGAGTCCCACACAGGCACTTGATCAAACTCCGGTTTCTCCTCTAAGTGCGACGGAGACTTAACGGCTCTGTCGCACTTAGGATGTGGTTTTTCAAGTGCCCACATCCTCTGAAAGACTCACTCTACCTGTGGCATTCCAGTTAAAAATTTTCATTTAATGTTGAGAGCACGAAATGAAAAATGTAAATGTTTATATGGATACAGGCAATGAGTTTCTCTTCCTTTCTTTCTTTAAAATAATAATAAATGATGAAGATTCTGAACAAATAATTAGAAAAGAATGAAAAAACTCACCTTTTTAGTTAAATGTCCAATGGGCTGCAGTCCAGTTATCCAGTAGTCCAGCTGTGCCTGTGAGCACCAGCCTCCTTAGGATATATATATAGTCTCTCTCTCTCTCTCTGTCTCTCTCTCTCTCTCTCTCTCTCTCCCTCTCTCTCTCTCTCTCTGTCTGGGCTCTCGTCACTCCCCCTTTGCAACTCCTCTATCCTGTTCCAGCATTCCATAAAATAACCCACTCAGAGGGATGAGAGAGCAGCGCTGACACAGATAACATCCTGTAAACACTCCCCTATGCAGGGACACCAAGCACCCTGGGAACAGATAAAAAAAAATAAAAATAGTGGTTTGTGTGCGTGAGTATGAATGCAAGAGAAAGAGAGACAGATAGACAAAGGCAGTGTGAAAGAGACTAAAAAGGAGGCCAGTCACAGTAGGGCTCAACTACGTGGCCCACCAGCACAAAACCCCTCTTGTTGTGGCTCGAACAAGGTTGCCATGGCCACTGCACCGGCTCCCCCAACTTATGTGAGACGCTGCATGCTTGAGAACCAAAGTGAGAGAGTTGGGATCCACAGCAAGTTAGCTAGACTTCTAGGTGATCTTATAAATGTTGACCTACTTTCCTTTAAATCTGATTATTAGCAATAGAAAGTTACAGCTCTGTGGAGTCAAGCTTTACAAATCAGGATGACATTTGCCCTGCAGGGGCAGCACTTTCAGAATCAGTCCGTCACAGCGCAGACTACAGAAAGGCCGTCTGTGTTTCTGACATTCAGAGTTCACTCTGAGCCTTTGTGCTTTCTAAAGCAGTCATCTGTGCCACTTTGGGCACGATAAAGAGGCAGGAGGAAGAGGAGAAACTGCACTGTGTGACAAACTGAAGCCGGTCAGCTGGGCTTCCTTGTTCCTGTGTCGTCCTTCTGTCACATCTCACACTTGAACTAATTGTGACCATCGGAAACCAGAGAGCAGGTTTCGCAGGGACTCAACAGTATGTGGTGTGATGGGTGGTACAGACTGATGCTGGTAAACATTCGCTGCAGCTGAGCGTGACGTTGCTCAGCTGGAATACCTCGGATGCTGCTTTTTCTTTTCTTTATGCCGGCAAAGAAAATGATCAGCAAACACACACACACATGCACTGTGTCCTGACATTTACTTTCAAGTGAACAAACAACACGGCCTATTAAAGGTAGTCTGGCTCCAGCATCAATAGAAAGTGTTGAATTCGTAGAAAAGTTTGGCCTTTGTTGTTTGTGGTTTCAGGCTTGCCAGGTGGAAACATGGTGAAATATTTGCGATAATGACAGCCAGCTGAGGGGAAAGAGGCCGTTTCATCTCTTTACACTGCATGTTAGGAAAGCTGAAGTCTCATTCCTGATTTTGTGTAATGAGAAGTCCTTTGAAAGTTGTGCCTTCCTTTGTTTTTAATGAAAGTACAAACTTGGGCTTCATTGCCTGCTGCTGAATAATATTTGAATCAGCAAAACACAAGTAAAAAGCTTGTGTAGTTGGTATATTATGCATTAATGGCATGTTAAACAAAGCTCATGACTATTTTGTCTTACCTTGACTTATCCAATCACAGAGTTTGTTTATGTCTGGAAGCTAAAATGATAAACGTCTGTCTTTTTCAAGGATGCATGGCCACGTTTTATCATTTTGACCTTGGTCAATGACTAGTGTTTTCTCCTCGCCACAAGATGTCTCTTCAGCTCACAGGAAAAGCCCCCATTGGTTCATCTCATGGCAGAAGATGCTCAGCATTTTCTGGGAAGTGTTGAGTGTTTCAAAAATATCAATAGCTCTAATTATGAGACAAGAGAAAGCACTTATTCAGAAGATAAGATTTCTGTTATGTATATTAAACTATAGATAGAGGTGCAGACACAGGCTGGATACAAACAAGACAGATGGCCAAAGACTTAGTTTGAAATTCAGACTTCATTTTGGCAGAGCTACAAGCAAACCTCTGAAAATGTTGAATGCATGCCTCAAGATAAACGTGCTTCACTCACATCCAAAAGACAGAAGGTGCTTACGGCTGAAAATCCACACAAGAGTATGAGATCAGTATGTCGAAGGATTGCTTCATAAGTAGAAAGTTGTTTAGTGGGAAAGACGGGATTTAGTAACCGTCATTGGCTGACTCCCGTGGGAAAATAAAGGTGGGCAGGGCAGACAGGTCCTTTGAAATGTGTTTCCTGGTGAGATGGATGTTTGATTGTGAGATATTGCCAGAGGGACGAAACA